TTGGGACATACGTAACGGTTGAAATTGGAGCTATTTAAAAAATTCTTTGTTGTTATTTGTTTTTACCTTTCTTTTCCTTTCCTTGATATTTCTTTGTCTGAAGTTTCTCCCTCTTTTCCTTTTCTTTGAGCTTTGTTTACTACAGGGCAGGGGCTCTGCCTGCTGCGTGAGGCTGGCGGCCCCTGAAGCTGCAGCATTTTCATTGTATTCTTTTGGCCTGGGCACAAGGCCCGAAATAATAAAAAATATGACTTTTTCTTTTAGAAAAAGATTGAAAAAATTGGAGCAGTATAGTGAAGATTAGATACAGAGAAGATTAGCATGACCCTGTACAGCTAGGAGTGAATGCTTTTATCATCACTTTTAGCTGTAACAGCTGTGTTTTTTAGTTCAGAAAAGAAAAAGAAGCATGACCCTGCTCAAGGATGACACACACATGTTTACCTACCTGCCTACCACTAATTCTTAAGCCGCCAGTACACAGCCCCAGCCTTGCAGAAAAACATTTCGTCGCCACCAAACTGTAACACCGGCACTTCCTAGGCCCACACGCCATTGATGAAATTCATCAAAGGACGGCGTTGCTTTTCAGGCCTCCGGAAATGAGGTGTCAGACCCGCGGCCCAGGTGGCAGTGTACTGGTGGTTTAAGGCTATAGAGGGCACACATGCAATCATAGCTACCTCACAATGAAGCTGTGTGTGTTTGAGCGCCGCTCAAACGCGCTCAATGAGCGCGGCTGAGCACACGCTCAGCTTTCGCGCCGGGGGGGTTCTGGGGGTAGGGGGGCACGTCTTTCTCTCTCTGACGGACACGGTCAGATATGCTCACTCACAATGAAGGCCACAGTAACTTCCGAGCTCGGATTTATAGATCTGATGGACAAGGTCAGATACACTCACTCAGGATGAAAGCTACTTCTGAACTCGAATGTACACATCTGACGGGCAAGGTCAGATACACTGACTCGACATGAAGGCTACTTCTAAGCTCGAATGTATATATCTGGCCGGACAAGGTCAGATTCACTCACAATGAGGGTTGCAGCTTCTCAAGGAAGTTGTGCTCCGCGTGAATTTTTTTTTTTTTCTAATGTATGATCCCACCCTGGCTTAGCGCCCGTGGTGCGCGTGATGCAGGCTATGCCCGCATTAAAAAAAAACACGGCAAAGATCAGTCAAAGCTCTCACACAGAGCCAAATGGACATATAGTGTACAATCTCTCTCTCTCTCTCTCTCTCTCTCTCTCTCTCTCTCTCTCTCTCTCTCTCTCTCTCTCTCTCCTTGCCTCCATTTTTCTCTGTCTC